GACAAAGAAGGCATCCCTCCAGACCAACAGAGGCTGATTTTCGCCGGCAAACAACTTGAAGATGGCCGAACCTTGAGTGACTACAACATCCAGAAGGAAAGCACTCTTCATCTTGTCCTTCGTCTTAGAGGAGGGCAATGATTTTGTATGAAGGTTTAAATCATGCTGTTGTTAAGAACTTGCAAAGGCTGAATAAATTTCGTTTTTTCCTAAACATTATTTTTGCTTATTTAATTTGGATGTATTAAACTAGTGGTCTTCAATAAATAACTCAGGGAATAATAATTGTGTCTTTTTATTGGTAGAATCTCTTCATTGCGTTGATTTTCGCATTTTAATTTTGATCGGTTGAAGCAGTACTAAAAAATTTATAGTGATTGGATTACTCAACATGAAAAAAATATATTTAGCAAAGTTTTTTTTGTGAGATTTAGAAAGTGACATTCGTTTTGCAAGGAAACTATGACGTAAGTAAAGTTTTAGGAGCAGTGGGACTTAATGGGGTCTTCTCCAGGGATCATAAAGGCCGGTTTAGACGGTACGATTTTCGCCTGCAACTATGGTATGCAACACGCTCGTGTCTGTCGTAGGCGAGTTGTAGGCTTGATTTACACGCTATGTTGTATACGATAGTTGTAGGCGAAAATCGTACCGTCTAAGCTGGCCTTAAAATAGAAAACAGGAAGAATGGGTAGATTCTAGAAATACTACTAATAATATAAAGCCTGAAGTGAGTTTACATTTTCCCCTGACTCTATACCATAATAGCTTGTAAAATTCTTTATGAAACTGATTGTTATGTCTTTGTTCACTTTTTTCAAGTGTGTCCCTGCACAATCCTTTGTTTTACCATTGTTGGCAATGGCTGAGTGAACAGACCAAAATCTTTCTTTTGGCTGCTAGTTCAAAATACTTATAGATTTATAAGAGATATTTGAATATTTCTTACAATAATCCCATAGATGAGGTTTGTTTACTTATTTTGCAATTTTGGATGAGCAAAAATCAAACCTTGTGCATGGTCAAGACCAATTCAACATCAAAAGTGAACAAAGAATTATAACAATAGGTTTCATAACCATTTTCCTCTATTAACTATGGAGGAACAATAGTCGTAATAAAAGAGCAAAAGCAAAGTGAAAAGGATTATGGTCTAGAGACGGGTAAAATGCCATCTCGCTTCAGGCTTATTCAGCAAATTATTTGCTTGGTCATCATGCATATACTCTGAACTGAACTGTTGACTTATCGCTGTTTGCAGCTGGTAAAATTTTCACAGCTCAAAACTGCAGTTGGAAAATTAAATTCATCTTGAAGTAATAGGAGACCAGTGTAGGTAAATTTTTATTAGATATTACAACTTGATCAAGACTAGTGCTGTAAAGTAGATGAATATAAATTTGATTTTACATGGCCTGTGGGGAAAATAATTAGAAAACAATACATAGTACATACTAATTTAAATATTTACTTTCGTTTTGTCTTGACAGTTAGACAAATTACACAACTTCCTTTTATGGGCTGAGTTAAATCACTTTTAGTCATGGCTTCAATTCCTTTCGGATGACCTGAAATTAACTACTTTGATTTAAAATGAGAATACACAATGTTCAGGAATGTTTAGATTGGACTAACTAAAACGTGAGAATTTTAAGAGTGAGTTATTTGCATTATAGTGTGATGTGTTACCACCAACTGAAACCCTCCAGGATACACACCAACTCTGTTACTATTTTCCCAAGGAAATAAAAAATTGAACAAGAAAGGATTGAAGCACATGTAGGTAGTAAATGATACCACCAGAAATAGCCTATTGGCATAATTATTTGTTTTCAGTTTTTCTTAAGCAGCTTTCCTTTTCCTGCCATATCTTCTACTCCTCAAAGAATTCATGTAGATCATCATGTATGTTCCACCTGAAAGGGTAACAAAAAAATCTATAATTTTTTTTAATAACCAATGATGCCATAGAATTTGCAAGAAATCCATATTACCATAACGCTAATTGCCCTATTTCATTATGATGTCACATGAAAATAATATTTTGTTTTCACACTAAAAATCATAGTCCAAAAGGGGGACAAAACAGCAATAATATGAAAACTATGAAAAAATGTATTTTTTTAGAATATTAGAACAGCAATAATAGCTACCAAATACTGTATATATTACAGGATAAACACAGTAAAATGTTTGAAAACCAGTTATACATGAGAGCTACCACAGGTGTAGCATAAAATTAGTCCAAATTCTTATTTTCCTTTACCATTCTGTCCCATTTATAAACAAGCTGTGACGTCATAGTAAAATGGGGGAATTCAATACACGAGGAAGTCAGGTTTATGTTGTAGCAGTGTTTTATTCCAAACTGATTCCAGAAAAATCCTCGAAAAGTCGGGGATATTCACAAGCAAACCTTTATCCTGGTTTTCCAGCCAAGGATACTTTAGTGGAAAGGTTTTGGCATGGCACTGAAAAGATTTCTGATTTTTCAGACTGAAACCTATCTAGCTTGATGTTTTCACAAAGTTCTAAAGGCAAATAGTCACATCTTTTCTAAATAATATTCTTGACTGATAAAATAGACCACAGAACTTACCATAAAAAAGAAATGGAAGGTAGAATTTGAGGAAAAGAGAAAAACTGAAGCTAAAATTAAAATCATTTGGAAGAGAAAATGAAAATCTCTGGGATTTTTCCATTAGTGGAATCGCCTTCCAAACGAGTGTTGCTGAAAATATAGAAAAATATTGGCAATTAAAATACTTTTTCAATGTCACAGATTTTCTCATTGATAAGAATTTATATTAGTATAAACTTCAAGCAAGGAAACATTGAAATCAAGTATCAGATATAAAACAGGAGGCCAGACAGTAAAACAAAGAAAGGTAAAAGGAGAAAATGGAAGCAAAATCAAATCAAAATATTATTGTATATATCACAATGCTTGGAATAATAATAATCATTATCATCGTCACCATGTGATCATCATCATCAACAACTGATAAACTTGTAGCCCTCTATATATGGGATAAACATTTTATGTGGTTATCCAAGCCACCGTGATAAAAAAGGTCACTACAAAGCAAGGAGGAGCCCTTTGGTAAAAATAATATGCATAACACTAACCTTCAGAGAGGATTCCTAAAGGATAAAGGGGTATCCAAGCTGAATATCTCAACCAAATAAGTGGCTCAATTGGGATGTTCAGTGTTTGTGCTATATAGAATGGATATCTGTCATAAAACAAATTGTCAAAAACATATTAATAATGTTGTAGTTCCAGAAATCCATACCCCCCTCATGGAGGATTATTTTAAAGACCCAGCTACCCTAGGAAATTCCAATTTTCTTCCATACAAACTCTGTAACTTTGTTCTTTCTGTGACCCCCACCAAACCCTCGGAAATTTTAAATTCCTTTGATGGGGGAGGGGGTATGGAGAACTTTACACAATTTAAAAAAAAATGGTTGGATTTGTTGATTCCCCCTTCCGTGCAAATATTAAATCCATTGTCATTAGTGGCAAAATTCTTGTACTTCAACAAAGGACTAAGTTCTGAAACATCACTTTGAGCTTCCCTCTTATGAACTTGCTGTATTTGACACTTTTATAATGTAAATCAGCTTTAGTTGATGGGGCAAACATTTCCAAATAAAGTTATACTACTACTACAACACAATCCCAACTAAAGTTTTACAATAATTTAAGTTTACATGTGCAGTCCAAAAATGCTGACTCTAATATCTCTGCTAACTGTTTTTAAAACAAACAAGCAAGGCTCACCTTATAATCTCAATGAGAGACCAGACTAAGAACAATAAGAAAACCACAGGATCTTCATGGAGTTCTTTATTTGGCACAAGCACAAGGAACAAGATAAGATTTCTCCCAGAAACCTTATAATAGAGAAGTAAAAAATAAGGATATTTATTGTCACAGGTGTTAGAAACACAAGGAGCCCTGCCACAGCAGATGAAACTCTTTGGGTAAAAGTAAAAAAATCCAAAGATAATGATCAAAAAAAAATTTGTCCCAAAAAAACTATTGAAGGTAAAATAGTAATTTGACTTATCAAACTCATTAATAATTCATGAGGAAAACAATATAGAAATCACGACCGTGAAGAGTTCTGTAAATCAGATACAGAATCGTGTTCATTTGCATAAACTTTAGCTTGGATTTTCTTGGGAAGATTCACTTTAATTCTGAAAATTTTAGTGAAACACAAAGGAACTAACCTAGACGTTTGATAAGCAATCTACAGTATTTGTGTCCGTGTTGTATCCGATTATACAAACTCTCGGCTACGCCTCGAGTTTGTATATCGGATACAACATGGCCACTCATACTGTATATATTACATATCAAATACCAGTGATTGATTATTTTGATAGGAATTCAAAACACAGGGATTGATGAGCTGATGTTAATTACAAAGTATGTATATATATATATTTATCAAACTCATTAATAATTCATGAGGAAAACACAATAGAAATCATTGTCCGTGGAGGAGGTTGTATATCTGATACAAAATTGTCCTGATTTGCATAAACTTTAACTCCAATTTTCTCAGCCAAATTCAATTTTATCTTTAAAATTATAGTAGAACATGAATGTAATACACCTAGACGTTTCATAAGTAATATACAATATTCGTGTCTGTGTTGTATCAGATATACAATCACTTGCCTTCGGCTTGTGGTTGTATATCTGATACAACRTGGCCACTCATACTGTATAATTATATTACATATTAGTTTCTTTTTTCCTCTCGTTTAATTAACTAACAAAATACAATTAAAGGACATGAGGTACAGAAAGAAAATTACCTGCATGAATGGTGTAAGTATACTAGTCTTGACCAGGCCTATGGTTGGATGAATGAACTCCATGATGGCAGCCAGTTGACAGGTCGCTAACACATCACTAACAGCATCATATGTGCCTGGGATTGAAGCTGTATTTAACAGGTCATCAATTAGAAAAGACTTTAAATTTGAAGTTGGTAGAAGTTGAGTCAAAATAAACACTAAAACTGAAAAAAGCACCTACATATTCACAAGGTGAAGTTTCAGTTAAGGATATGTGAGACAAGAAATGACATTTTATATCCATAATGATTTTATAAGGATAATTGAGAAGATGCACTGGATGGAAAAAGCTTGTCATCATACACATTTTCCACTTGATGTTTTATTTCATATTCAATGCCATTTCTCTAGTTGACCCCATGACCTAATGACCTTACTAATGTAATGACCTCCATAACATGCAGATGCTATTTAAAATGATGATTTCTGGTATTAAACTTTTGACGCAACTGCTTATTTTAAAAGGGGTGAGGTAGGGTAATGTGATACAAATTCCTGGACAAAAGAAAAAGGACAACTTGCACTTGCACTTGAGGGTCACATTTCCCTTTAAGTACAAAACGTGCAACTGCTAGCTGTTCTTTAGTTTTAGCCAGGAATTTGTATCATGAATGCAAAACATAAATGGATTATAGATTCAATGCATTATCAATATAATGTCTTACCTAGACCCTGAGTGGCTAGTCTTGCAAGCATCTTCACAACAATGTACATAAATAACCCGGCTTGCATCAAGTTGAATAAAACCAAATAAAACTTCTTTATGAACCTCAAAACTTAACACAGATAAAGGGATCATGTTAGCACAACAATTGTGTAATATTCAGACTTAGGCATAATAGGATGGAAAGAAATGCATGTCCATATCTATGCATGCAAACTCTGTGTCTTGGAGTTGCATTCTGAAATTTGGTTTTTCGCTGCCGCCAGTCAAAAATATGATAGGTTCTAAATGATTAGGTTTGATTGATGGCAGCGAAAAAAAACAAATATCAGCGTGCAGCTTGCAGACACAGAGTTGGCAAGTTTGTGAAAATCGCAGTAATGTTCTTACCATCTTGTTTTGCTTTATCTACTTGTAAATCATAATCTCTCTTAAATCGTTGCTCAAACAGTATTTTCTGAAATATAATTTGAGATTATTGTCAAAACTAATAAATTAATGTACTTGGTAAAATAAAATTTGGTAAGTGAGTTTTGATGAATTTATCTTGAGCGCTGAAGGTGGATGTGTACTTTCAAGCTAAGGGCATAGTTTTTTAAAATATATTTTCTGATAAACCTTTTTTTCACTGCAGTTTTCAATATTTTTGCAATAGTTTGCAAACTCAGACATTTCAACAGCTTGTTGTTAAATAGGTTTTTACTGCCACCTATATAACATAAGAAGTACCGAATGATTATTTTTGATTGACAGCAACAAAAAAAAAAAAAAAAATTTCAGCATGCAGCTTAGAACAATTGAGTTTGCAGAAAATAGAAAACTGCAGTAAAGTGAAAATTGAAGCCACTCGAAACAAAAATAATAACAAAAAATATACAAACAAAATAATTACAGCACACAGTTCTCTGAGAACAATCTAGACAAGCATAAGTAAACAAAATTAAAATTAACTGTGGCTGACCTTTATTTGTGGATCTTCTTCTTCTTGTTCTTTTTCATTTTTGTCATCTTCAGAATCATCTTCATTCTTCCATTTATCAAAGTTTATTTTCAGCCAGTGTGGTTTCTTTTCCTGGTTGACTAAACGCTGCCAGAAAAACTCTGAAATAAAAAACAAGGAAACTAAAAACTTTGCTCTTCCCAGAACAACATGAAAATGATTATGAAGTGCATAGCAATAAACCAGAAATAATGGGTTAGCCGTGAATGAAAGCTAGCTGTATGTATTGCTGAAGAAATTCAACAATGTAAATATTCCTAGGGTTGTCCTTAGCCAACAAACCTAATTGATGGGATCTTAGTGTTGTGAATTTTAAAATGGTTTTTCCAAGGACAATGCTTGGAAATACATCACTGTGGTTAGGGCTTTCAGAATAAGATGGCAGCTGCCAGAGCTCCAGCGATTGCTTGGAAGTTAACTAAAGATATTTTATGTTGCTTTTATATTACAGTAAATAAACAAAACATTTGAGCTGAGTGTGTTTTCAGTCCTCTGAAATACTGCATGGTTTTTCAAGGGTTTCAACCAACCAGAGCAGTTGTAGTAACTCAAATATTTTACAAATTAATAATGTTATGTAATATGTATATTATATACCTCTTCCTTTGCACTTTGCAATACTAAAATCAACATATCTCTCCAGCAGGGAATGGGAGCTGGCCTGTAGAAGAATAAAAAAAATGACTGACAATTAATGTTGTCTTTAAAGTGATTGACAACCATATACTACCAAGGAATTCTGGGATATTGAAGGGATACTGCTATAGTCATGCCACATCATGCAATAAGCAATTTACTGCAAGTAGTCATAGCGACCCTCTCTATTTCAGCTGGGTCAAGGACTAATTACCTAGCTGCCATCAAAAATACTCATTCAAGTTGTCCAATCATATCAGACATTTTTAAAAAATCTACCAACCTTTGACATTAAATGGTCTGTTACTAATAGTTGACATGCAACAAACTATCCTGCACAACTATAGACTCCTTGCATGTGACGTCAAAGCAGCTCAATTTGGACATAGTTAATATAATATTACTAAGTAACTATGATTTGGAGGACAAAACACAAGAATTTCGATCTCCTGAGAATTTGAAACCTATTGTTTTGCCCTCTAAATTGAGCTGCATTCCAAAGTGCTGCAAGGGGTCTATACAATACATGCTATTAAACACTCCTATTAAGCTATATTCAGGAATCTGAGAAAATGATGGGGTGTAGAAATTTGCCATTATATGATTACTGCAGTTTTCAATGTTCTGCAAACTCAGGCAGACTGCTTGTTGTGAAATTGGTTTTTTGCTCCTGTCAGTCAAAAATAATAAGAGGTACTGACTGATTATTTATGACTGACAGCAAGCAAAAAACAAATTTCAGCATGCCGCTTGAAGGTACTGAGTTTGCAGAATATCAAAAATCGCAGTAAAATCATAGTACATTTGCATCACATTTTCACTTACACTTGGATCTATTGGCTCCAGGAAGTTCACTTCAAGTTGATAGTTACTTTCACCCCTTGCTCCATGACCATAAGCTGTAATCACAACCATAGGTTAAACCAATACATTCTACTTACTTGAAGATGAAAAATTTTATTTTAAGGAAACAAAAAAATATACAAACAATTCAAAGAATATGTTGAATATTTCATTTCTTTATTCATTTTGTTTGTAAAGTATTTCAAATGCTTGGAAAATAAATATGTTATTTACTGGCCAGGAAATCCCCTAAGGGAAAAACTGTGCCCCACATCTTGAAGATACAGACCAAGGTTCTGTTTTCAAGACTGAGGGCACAGTTTTTTTTAGGTACTGTAAATAACTTTTTCACCTATTTACTTTGCCATTTGTTTTGCAATTTGGACGTAAGCCTTACGTCAGGATACAGGACCCTGGGCAGCGAAAGAAAACACCACCCACTCTCAGCCAATCAGCATGCACGATTTTTAGGACACCAGACCGAAAAAAATAAAATCAAATATTTTCAAACATCTAAAAATGAATCAGTAGAAAAAGACTACAATAGCAAACATTCTCTCTCTTGTTGAAAACATCGTTTTCATCATTCCTGTGCTAACAAATCATTAAAACTTACTCTAAAAGTGTTATGTCTAGCCTTCATTTACTGCTATTCCTTCGTTCTTTATAACTAAAACAACCATTTTCCCATTCTACTTTCCTTGCAGCTAAATTTTCGAATCATTACATCACACTATTGTAAGCACGAAATTCGAAAACATGAAATTCCCAAAGAAAAAACTATCTATTAAGAGACGAATATGATTAAGAAAGCCAAAAAACCACGCAGATGCGTAAAGCAAGTGTCAAACGAAGAAAAGTTTATCAAGCTCACCTTTGAATATCAACCGGTCTTCATTCAAATCAATCGTCGGATACTATCAAAAAATATACACACTAAATATAAAAAATAAAAATAAAAGCCCTGGGATAAATGGAAAGTGTGTAGAATACCTGAACATCAGAGAGTTCAATGGTTAAGTATAATCTTTCTTTGGTTTGTGCCCATCGAACTATTGGAGTCAGTGGAACCGCCATCTTGGATCCGCTGCTCTTGAACATCATGCTTTGCGGTACTACACTCGATGACAAGCGAGGGAAGACTGGGACTAAAGACCATTACGTCACGCCAGGAACGGCGTAACTTTTTAAAAACGCGTTTGAGCTTCGTGCAATTTGTCTTCCTTTTTTCATTACTGCATTATTGTCGTTGATAAAAATGCGCAATACTAGACAGGATTAAAATAAGGTTTGTGAACTGTGGTTGCGTCACGTGGTCAACGTCTCTCTTCTGACTTGTAACCTTGGTCCTTCACATATTCTTCGTTTGCACGTTACGTCATCGCGGCCATGTTGGTACCATTTAACAAAAGATTTCTCATTAGCATCCATTGTTAACGGTACCACAATGGCCGCCATGTTTTTGTCTTTTAACTCTCTTGGGAATGCTTGCAACCCATCAATTGTCGTAGGAATAGGACGTTTATATGATGGTGTCATTGACCTCTACTACCAGACTCCCTTGCACACTTTCTTTTATTCGGTTAATTAGCACCAATTGTCTAACTATTCTTATGAGAGAATAAAAATTTAAATAAGAAAGAAAGTTTGTGAAGCATCTTGTTAGTGGGAGTCAAATGAGATCATGCAAACGTCCTATTAAGGCCCATCCACACGTACCCGCAAATTTTTGTATCCGCAAATTTTTTTTGCGGATACGAAAATGTTTGCGTCCACACGCAGCGTATTCGAATCGTTTTCACTGTCCACACGTATCCGGAAATTTCTTGATCCACCCTGATGGACGCTAGTGCCTAGTCCCTTTGACGGCTTTTCCGCTTCAGTCCGCTTTTGCTGGACTGCCTGTGCTCCGCCTAAATAGTCTCATGATAAGGGAACCCTTCTCTCGACAAAAAATGTGGCGTCAATGATTTAAAAAACTTGAATAGCTGAAATCAACGCTTAATATAAAAGAAAGTCACAGAAAATTTACTACTAGTTTTTCATAAAAATTCCTAACTTCTGCTTTTATTAAAGCCTACTTTTGCACTTCGGCCTTCTAACAATCAATTTCTTTTGTTCATCAAGTTATATATAAAGCAGTTTTATTATTCTGTCTAACATTAGTAAATGAGAACAGCCTTTTGAAATGAATATTTTATGGACGTGCACTAGTATATTGATCAAATGGGCATCAATACTTTCCAAATTCTTCAGAATTCCTATCTAACTATCATGATAGGCTAACTGCATGAAAGAATGGTAGTGGTATGCACCACACTGACTGAGTAGACGAAGGGCATTGACTACTAGTTTTAGCAGCTGTCTATTCCCCTCGAGGCAAAGAGAACTTAGCGGAGGGAGTGGAGAAAAGAGAGAGGACTTGATTAGTTGGCGTAACCGAAAAGGTTACTAGTCATCGCTATCAGAGTCAACAGAGGTACTAGTTTTCTTTCGTCTTTTTGTAGGCTTTGGTTTAATTGATTCCTCTTCCTGTGGGAATTCAAACACAAAAAGATAAAATGTAAGACTCTAGTTTATAGTAAACTTATATAAAACTTATATTTTACAACCATCACTCCCCATGCGGGGCTCTTCCGTGAGGTTCCCTCCACACGCACTACCACTACATTCTATATTTACAACATACAACCGACTCAACTCACATGTTGCTTTTTACGGAGGGAGGAAACCGGAGATCCCGTAGAAAACCCTCGTTGCAAGGGAGAGAACAACACAACAAATAAACTCAACTCACATATGATCCAGTCTGAGCCAGGGCTCGAACACGGACCACAGTGGTGAGAGGCGAGCGGTAAATCACTACGCCACCCATAAGTAGTAGTAGTAGTGGCTAAGCTCGGATAAAAAATAACGAAAAAATGTGGTAGAAACTAATTCTATAAAATAATTTAAGGCTCTGCCAAGACGCCTCTGGCCGTTTAGACACTCCTCATTGGAGGCTAAGGACGTGGCCGCGTCAAGACATTTTCTTGTTCATCATACCTCATCACTTTCATCAGAGGACGCCGCTGACTGTTTAGATGCTGCTTGCTGGCGCGACATTCTTGTAGTTCTTTTCCTTGTTTCTTTTTCATCGCACAACGAAAAGAGCATTTTGAACCTGGAACAGGGAGAAAATATCGACTCCTAAGGATATTCATATGGATTTCAAGGTTTACTGTGACATGCATTTTATGATCATTAACCGCCAACCGGGTAGCTCAGTTGGTTGACCATCGGACTTTCGTGCGGGAGGTCGTGGTCCGAGTCCCGGCCGGACCAAAACTCCAGGGTCTTAAAATAACTGAGGAGAAAGTGCTGCCTTCGTAATTACATCTGCAAATGGTTAGACTTTCAAGTGGCCCGGATGACCACTTTAAATGGCGGTCCCGTCTCACCACACTTACTAACCAACATCGGAGGGCCGTAAAAGAACCACTGAGGACGTAAAGAAACCCTGGCAGTGACCACCCTCAGTGCCTACACCTCATACTAACCACCTCTCATTCATAAATCATTGTAAAGCGCCTTTGAACATATCCATAGGGAAAAGAGCGCTATATAAATATCATAATCATCATAATCATAATCATTACCTGGATTTTCTTGCTTCTGATCCAGCGATTCTAGCCTGATCTAGAGCTGATCGTATATTGTCTTGTTTAAAAACTAAAACAAAAATGTCCACAACATCAGTAAGGCTTCTACGGTTTGTGGTTGTATCACTTCCAGGTGCTATAGAAACTACCCTGTATTTGATAAGTAGGTGAATATCGCGTTGCACCATGGGCCTTTTCATGGGGACGCTAAATACTTGTATATATGCCTTTTTCGCTTGCTGCGAAGCGTCCCTCAAAACCACCCCATAATGCAACGCATTTCTACAACTTCTCTGGGAACATCAAGTAGGAAAACAACCAAATAGACTGCGAGCAGTTCCTCTATTCTCTTGGTCACTGTCCGTCTGTCTGTACGTGTCGATTGGCCTAGGAAGATTGGTTACGAGTCAAAAGTCCCGGGGGAGTTTCGTCCTTCCCTCGCCAGCCCCCTCCCCCAGGGACTTTTTCCCCAAGAGAAATAGAGGGACTGCTCACAGTCTAACAACCATACTGATAAACTTACAACTGATATCTTCTTGTTCTTGACATATGTTGTGTAACCAGTCGAGGTGAGACAACACTTGATCCACAGATGGCTGATTTTTTGCATTCCTAGAAAACAAACTACCAGTTTAATAGGCTGTTCCAAACTGAGCAGTGAATTTTGTTTTAGCCAGTAACAAGGCGGTTAGCTGTTTGGCCCCGGCCCTTATTCCCAGGTTACTGTAACCTAACTTTTGCGTATTTTTCTGTTTTCTTTTGACTAAAACATAATACACATGCCTACAAGAAGCAGAAGTATGGAAAGGAAAGACGATTTTACTTTACCGTCATGTTTGCTTCGTTCTTTTAAGCTTAGCGTCGCGTTCACCGCTCAGCTGGTTTGCAAGATGGCATAATTTTACTACCACTACCAAAATGCTTCGCGATTTTTTTTCTTATTTAAATTTTATTTCATCAAAAGAATGATAAAGTGATTTTCATAAACCCGTGAAATTAAATTAAATTAAATTAAACCCGCATATTAATGTGTAATATAGCGGTTATTAGTGAGGCAATTAAGCATTGTAGTGAAAGTTTATTGACTATATTTTATTACTTCGTTTTTTAAAGTCTCATGAGTAATAGCTCGTACTAGTTTGTATTAATGGTTATTACGCTAACATTTATTTCACGGGTTCATGAAAATCACTCTAAGACAAATGGTACTAATTAATTGAAAGAAATAGAGTGTGCAAAGGATTCTGGTAGTAGTAGTAAATGACGCTATGATGCAAGTGACCTATTGCTGAGCTGCCCGAATTTCTAATTTTCAGTTTTCTGGTTTTTATTTGCGTGTCAAAGCCGCCTTGCTGCAGGGGAAGGGAGAGTTTTTCTTTGCCTTTACAGGATTGTACTTCCTTTAGAGAAACCAATCTATTTAATAATCTAGGGAATGATTTACTTGTATTAACAGACTTGTGTCTCTTGTATGTGTTTTCCGTTCGTCACAAGGAATAATAAAAGCATTTTTTTATTACTTTTATTCTTGGGGTGCATGTCATGTACGTTATAGCCGCCATATTGGTTGACTATACAAAACATTTCTCATTAGCTTCTCTTGTTAACCAACCAACATGTTGGCTATTTCATTGTTATTTATATCTCAAGGGATTTTAAGTCACGTGGCTGCACCCCAAGAATTTAAAATTACCTTCAACATTCACCACTTACCATACATCGGTTCATTGGTCAAATACGAAAAATTCGACCGAGGCTGCAAGGTTCAAATATGAATAATCCTTCGTAACTACCTTGCATCCTTGATTGAATGATTTGCATGTGACCGGTCAACCGACTCGGTATGGAAGGTGGCGAATAATCATTTCAAAGCAAGCGGGATATCTCCCTTGAGCCTTTATTATTCACCAGTATTGTTTAAAAAGGCTCATTCAAAATCCATCCGTTTACTACTCACTTTCTTTTCTTTCCCCCAGACAGTTGTTTAGATACTTGTTGACTTATCAGTTGTGCCAGCTCACTTGAATATTCCTGACTCCAGTATCTTAGCAACGCTGTAGCAAACTGGTTACCAGGTCTCTTGTCTGGACATTCCATTCCAAGCACTGGTGTCAAAAGATCATGAGAAGGCCTGAGGAAGTTCAAGAAGTTATTAGCATCTAAATGGCTTCCCATTGTTGTTCTCTGATATAAGTTTCCTTATTCGTTTCGAACTCGTACGAAGTTAATTTTTTCAAACCTTGAAACAACCTTTGAGTTGATCAAACTAAGGGGCATGGCTAACTTACAGAAGAAAGTTGAGATTGAGCGCATTAGATTTGTGGTGAGAGTAAAGCCAGATAATCCAGAAGAAAACCTAAAGTAGAGAGACCCGACAACTGCGACAAATTCTGTCCATGTGATGTGATTCAAAACAAAGACACCCAAAGGTAGGAGGGGGTTTTGAGGGGAGGGGAGGGGGGGGGGAGGGGTGAACTAACATTGCTTTAGTAACTTGTGAACCACAGGTGGTGTGTGCTGCCCAACGCGATTCCCAAACTTGTTATGTGTACATATACATATATTGACTTACTGGACACTTTTCATCAGAATCAATAGGTTAGCCAGTGCTTCAGCGTGCTGCTCTGGTTTCAGTAGAGGCAGAATACCAACTATTGATTCTAGTAGAACATCTTCTGCTTGTATCAGTTGCCAGACACAGTACTGCTCGAATGATTCCCAATCTAATGTCGATTCTAGAAGAGGAAAAGGTATAACCATATGGATAAGATTAAGGATAGAAAACTAATGCTGGCCAAATGGTTAACAGAGAAATCGTATCATTACATCCAAAGGTCAGCAATCACATATTTCCAAGATGGCGTCTATTTGCTGTCTGATTTAGTTCAGCCCTTATGGTTATTACAGACAGCTAGAACCTTAACCTTTTATCTTCTCTTACTTATCTCATATAATTTGTAATTTCAATGGATGGTACAAATAAACAGTTGTTGTATTTCGTCCCCACAACAGTCCCACAATACACTGCAATGACGACTGGAGGCAGTTTTTTTGCTCAACCCTGGAATGGCAAACATCAATAATGTATACTGAATTACCAATAAGCGTGTCTAGTTGTTTTTGCTCTCCAAAGATGATTAATTCTCCTAATGTTATTTCGCAGATAAATGTGTTAAGCTGTTGAAGAAAAAAAAAACCGTAAATAAACTTTATCTGTTTTTCGAGCCCCGAGATGAGATAGTTTCGAGATGAGTTTGTAATTATGCCTCAATATAAGCAAAAGGCTATACGGAAAGTAACAAAGGGGAGGGGGGGACGAGGGAGCGTTTAAATATTCTATTTCTTCAATATCGTTCGGCTATTTGTGGATTTAGCGGGAATCTTGGCGCCAAAACGCGTGTGCTCGCATTGTCTTCGATATCGTTCGGCTATTTGTGGATTTNATCGTTCGGCTATTTGTGGATTTAGCGGGAATCTTGGCGCCAAAACGCGTGTGCTCGCATTGTCTTCGATATCGTTCGGCTATTTGTGGATTTAGAGGGATTCTTCGCGCCAAAACGCGTGTGCTCGCCCCATCAACAATATTTGTTGACTTGGCGGGAATGTTCGCGCCAAACGCGTGTGTTCGCCCCTTCAACTCTGCCTGTGCATTAAGCGGGAAACTTCGCGCCAAACAAGTGTGTTCGCCCCTCCAACACTACCTGGGGATTTAGCGGGAATCTTCGCGCCAAAAAGCGTGTGCTCGCCCCATCAACACTACCTGGGGATTTAACGGGAATCTTCGCGCTAAAACACGTGTGTTCGCCCCTCCAGCTCTTGCAATCTCGCTAAGCTACTACTATATACTATATGAAATAAATACAAGCAACATTTGCTTCTAACCTGTATTGGCTCCATATTGGTCACCAACATGTGTAAGATTTCGCTATCACCAACCACGTGCTCAGCAAACTAATAAGAAAGTCGGAAAGATTCCAATACCAATACTAGGAAAACAGGATAATCTGCGGTAATACGGGCAACAAAATTGTGGAGCCACTTTCTACTTTTTGCAACAAGCAGCCACAACCCGCGACATCGATTTTTGTTGCCTGACGTAAGTGGTAATACGATCAACATTGCTCTGCAACTTGCAACTCAACCATGATGCACGACAAGTTGTACGATTTTGTTGTCTGTATTGTTGCACCAAGGATGGGATGGAGTGGTTAGGTGGGGTGGGGAGACTAACCTTCTAAATATGGACGGTATGAGGTAAACTGATAAGAAAGGAGCAGAAAGATTACAATACCAATACGTACTAGGGATAAGAAGGCATGGAGTGGGGTAGGGTAGGGTAGGGCGGGGTGGGGTGGGGTGGGGTAGGGCAGGGCAGGGCAGGATGGTGACTAACCTTTCTGTATATGGACGGTATGATGTAACGGAATGCTCTAGGGTCGTAATCTTGGCACACCTATCAATAGAAAATATCTTGATAAGAAATATCATAACTGTAGGATCACAGTTGCTGGTAGAAGTGTTTATTGAGGCAACGAATGTAGTTAACTGATTATTACTGAATCAGGGCTGGATGTAGTATGCATGCAGTCCGACCCATCGAACTCTGGTTATTATCTAACCAGGTTGACAGTGTACGCTGGATAAAAAAGAGTGAGGCGGCAAGGATTCCACAATCACTTTTTCATAAAGCTCATCTACTACTGGGAATAGTATTCCAGTTAGTATTTCAGTTTCAGGAAATATTTGCAAGATGGTGTCTATTTCGTCCCTTAAAACGATTCCAGAATGCACTGCAATGCCAAACACGGCCCAGTTTTTTCCTTGACCTCGGAACTGATAATATCGGAGTACAGCACTAAAGATGTGTTCAAAGCTGATAAATCAAACAGCAAACGTGAACTAAAAGTATCCCTAACCTTTAGATCTTCTATCAGACAGGCTTGTAAGCTTTTCTCTCCTCGAGAAGTGGTTGCAAAATCTTCATACATCGTCAGCCTTTCTTCATCTGATTCACTGAAATAAAGAATAGACAAAACTGACATAAGAGTGGTGAACAGTGGAGCTTGGTTTTAATTGGAGGCTTTGCACCATCACGTACCGGCGCCCATGATACAGTTTGGGCTGCCTGTGGTTAGATGGTTAGACAATAAACCCCTTTGCTCTCGGGAATTGAATTCTTTCTCATGTAAAATGACTGTATTGTTTCTGCCATCTAACATGGCTGCCGTCACGTGATGGTGCAAAACCTCTATTAACTTTTTGTATTTGATCACATGTCATTTCCTTAAACGTTACTCAAAATTTAATAATTGAAGAAACAACTTGTGTGTGGAAACAACTTTTTTCCATCACTGTTAGTCTTGTAAGTTCTCTTTACTTCTAGATAAGCGACATGACTAGGGATAGGGATAAGAAAAAGTAAAAGTAAAAGTCAGCCTTTGCCTTACCTGGCTTTGAGATAGAACAAGAAGCGATAGCCAAACTTGTTGTTGACCTCATGTAAAGCACTCAGAAGAGACAGGAAGCGTTCTCTACTGACGTCATGTGTGGGTAATGTACAAATATTTCTGCAATGAATATCAGAAGTTGTTAGATGAAATACTTGTGTGTGAGTGAATGAATGAAGGATAGAATGAAAGAGTGAACGGCCAAAGATAGACATACAGAAAGATGATCAGACAGACAAAAAGTGGAAAGAGGAAAGGAAGGAAGAAAGGAAGGAAGGAAGAAAAAAGAAAGAAAGAACAATTGGCAGGTACTCAACCTAAATAGCTCATAGACAGGACTTTCCAAGGATTCTTCGACATTTCTGTCGAAAAAGAACATGCAATAATGTAAGTAAAGGGCAATATAAATAAAGTGATAAGGGGGGGCACGCAAGCTTGGGAGCGTGACACAAAGGGCGCTTTCCATTAACTTGAACCAACTACAGTCCTGGCAGCCAGTTCTCATGCGTCAGTTCTCATTATTTTCATAACTCGGTCAACCAGTTATATAGGACTGACGCGTACCATTTGAGAACTGGACGCTCGGACTGGAAAGCTCCCTAAGATCCTAAATATTTCATTCATCCAAGTAAAAGTAAATGATTAAGCATGCCGCAAGTCTATCAATCATCAATAGTTCCCTTCATGGTTCCCTGCGCTATCTTGAAAGGTAGCCGTGCCTTTGCATCGAAGCGAGATGAACGGTGAGCTTGCAATGATAGAGAAAGGTGAATAATTGTCCAAGGTGTTAAAAAAGGTCTCTATCATTGCAAGCTCACCCTTCATCTCGCTTCGATGCAAAGCTACGGCTACCTATCAATATGGTGCAGGGAACTGTGAAAGGGACTATTGACTTTTTATAACATGCAGCCTTCTAGTCTCTAAGCTACTACGATTCAATCTTTTTGAATCCGACAACGATTTTTGAATTTGATGTAGTTATCGTGTAGTTACCTTTCTTTAGTAAAGCAGGAGATTAGAAGATCATCAACCAAACAAAAATTCAGACAAACAGCAAGAGGTTTCAAAATGTCGTCCACTTCAGAATCCTCCTGTCGAGAAAAGTAAAACATGAAAAGCAGTTTACTAATGACTCGCTGATTGGCTGAGAGCCGAGTGTATACAACCACAGGTAGTCCAATTTATACCACAGCTTCATTGTTTGGAAATTCACAAAATCTGAATGAGACTTTTATTCGAGGCAGAGTAAGCCCTAGCGCTAAAGCCAGCAATGCCATCAGTGGCAATCCCCAGGGCAATCTAGCTCAGTCCTTCGATCTAAATTCTGGATAACAGTATGTATATGGCAGCCATTATCATTACATCAGTCATTTCTATATCCCCTTTCTTTATAGATGAACCACATAAGGAAACACAATAGTGGGGGAGGTCCCAGCTTTCTGCGAAGAGGGTTGTGTGGTGGGCGAGTTCCATGTTGTCACAGATAGAAGGATCATCTAACAGAGTATATCAATTGTAGAAATTGCAACTTTGCTAAACCCTCTGCTAGCAAGAAGCAAGAAGTATCCTAAGATTGCTCGACTTTTACAACTACACAGCTACCATTTTTGTGAAATTAGATGAGTGTAATGAAAGTAAATTTTATCAAAAATGGCAAATAATTATTTAAATCATAGGCAAAAGAGTTCTTTAATATACGTAACTTACGAGGTCAATTACACCAGTCAAGATGTTTTCCATCCTCTTGCATCTCATTGTGGGATCACTGAAATATGATGGGAAATCAAATGAGATTGAAATGGAGTAAAGAAAATGTGAGAAAAGGAACAAATGAAAGAAAGAATGGATAAACAAAGTAGGGATGCGAAACAAAGAAAGAGGAAATGAAACAATAAAATAAAATATTATTTAATGTGCAATGGTGTTTTAGTGACAGACCATGGGCTTTCAGCCTTCAACTATTTTATTCTATACAACTGAAAAATAAATGTAGCCCAAAATCCCTAATAGGATAAAAAGGTGGAATACCATGGAATATACAATGGCTTTCCTCTATTCTGATTGGCTGTGGGATAAAATATTGTTTATTATGGTTGGGTTTGCTTACCTTTCTCTGGAGAACTGTATCAGCAAGCTCTTTAATTCTTCCCCAATATTTTCAAGTTCTTCCAGCTCTGTTATATCTTCATTACTCTCCCTTTCCTCCCCCGTACTTGCTGACGTCCCCCCTCCTTGCCTGGTATCTTCCTCCTTTACTATTGGCTTAAACTCATAGTCTTTTTCTATTGGTTCATTTTTAATGCCTTCCATTTCTTCATCTTCTTCAGGGTCAGAGAACAAGGCTTCTTCATCCGGCATCTCCAGCTCATCATCAACACCACTGTCTTCTGTTTCAATATCTTTGGAAGTGTCCATTGAACCTAGTTCTCCTCCTAGTCTCATCATGCTAGAGGACTGGAGACTGATATCAGTTGAAGCTTCCTCAAGCTTTACACCTGCAAACCAAGAAGTCATGAAAATATGGATTTCAGCATATCATTGCTTAGATTGAATCAGTCCAACTTTCTGGTTTCTTTTTGTGCTTTGCATTGTTCATACGTAAAATGTCAGAATGTCTATGTTATATATGGATCCCAATGTTAACCCATGATAATGACATGAACACATCCTCCTGGAAGATGTATCATCACTCCTACCATCTTCCTGCATGATCATCTTACATAATCATCATCATCATAATCATTACTATTATCATTGTGCAACATCATCTTACATCATCATTATCATTAACATCATCACTATAATCACTATTTTCATCATGCATCATCATCACTATCATCATCATGCATCATCATCTTACTTCATCATCATCATCATCATCATCACTATCATCTCTATTATCATCATGCATCATCATCTTACTTCACCATCATCATCACTATCATCATCATGCATCATCATCTTACTTCATCATCATCATCACTATCATCATCACTCTGGTGATAGGAAGAGGCAGGATGGAGGAAAGATAAGTAGAGAATAAATCATACAAGTCTTATGTCTTCAAGAAGGTAAGAAGGACTGTAAAGTAGTGACTTACCAGGAACACAAAACTCTTCTAATTCTCGTTTAACCAAAACTTTCAGTCCTCTTTCCAGCTTGGGGTTATCCAGAAGAGGTGACAGAGAACTATAGGATTATTATGACAAATAAATAAGGTTCAAGATTAGGTTTCAGTGCCATGAGTTTAATGAAGTCACCCAGTGGTTTTCAGCCAATCACAAGGTGAGTATAAAAATGGATACCGTTTGTATGTTTATAACAACAGCCAATTAGATTCTACTGTGTGCTTAGATAATGGACCTCTAGTTTTCAGGTGAAGGGACTTCATCTGTCATTGGCTGAACAATGCAAGGTGGCAATCATTGTAATCATCACTTTGTAATACCACATGCATATACATTGCCTGCATTAAGATGGTCTGCGAATCAGTGCAAGATTTCTTGTTCTGCACTCACAGCATGGCTGCACAATTTTCCATTTCAGATTATGTGTACATAATACAGCATATCAAAATAATACCAATTTGACTATTATTCTGGACTGACTAGCCTCTAATACATGTAAAAAGTAATGGCTTTATGTTTCCACGTGAGCACAAGGCTGGTCAGTCCAAAACAGTTATTCAAATCGGTAACCATATTTCTATCCTGCATACATTTGGTAAATATGGATACAGCTCAAACAAAAAACTTATTTCCAAGAAAGTGACACGTTCTGAAATGGGAAAATATAATGCCTAGGTGTATTAGGCCAATAGGACAATAAAAAATAGTATTTAAAAGACTGTAATAATTATATGCTTGGACAGAGATACAGTACAATGACAATTAGTTAGTTTTACATACATGACAACTTTCTTTCTCTGTATGATTCTGAAGCCATTTCTTACTCCTTGCCTCACAAAACCATCCAAAGATGGGCAATAGTTAGACATCATCTGCAGTTATAATAGAAAAGTGACCTTGTAAACAAAACGTTTACAACAAAACAACTTGATGTGATCATAATGCATCATACCCGGCAGATGAAGTCAAGGAGTGTACTGGTGATAAATGGATGGCTTCTGATGGAACAGTGCATCAACAAAATGGCTGGCTCTGGTAACAGAATTTAAGATTTTAATTTGTTTAATATCAGACTTTTAATAATAATATTATAGTAAGTTCAAAAGGGTAACAATTATACAAGAAACTAAATAGAAGGTTCTAGTAACCTCCTTTCTTTTCCTGGAAGCACAAAAATGAATAGCCATGCTGCTCAATGCTGTCTCACAAGGACAGGAGTAAGAGGAAGATGGATTAAAAGACTTTGAAGATGCAGCAATTTCTTTTTATTAATAACTAGTTGTTTGGAAGTTATGTACAGGTATGTATTATATAATTATTATGATATGCTTAATAATATATGTTATTTCATATGTTGCAATTACTTAGACTTATTCCATAAGTTGGTGTTTTCGCTCTTTTGTCAATTCTCGATGTCGCTAACACGAAAAAAAGCCAAAGACCAGCAAAAATTATGACTATGGAATCAGTCTAGCAATTACTCTGCAGAAACTTTTGCAAGAATTATAGTGCAGACAACCAGGATCACTTGAACAAAATTTAAGATAAAAAACATTAGCCAATCAGGAGAGAGCAAAATCAGTAGCACATTGACCTTAGCCAATTAAAATCTATCATTCCCACAGTTGTTGATAACATCTAAGTTTTTCTCAGATATCTAGGCTTGGTTGTTCATTCATGATTGGTTCAAATCCTACTTGAATTTGATTTCTTTATTTTCACTCTGATTGGTTAACTTTCTTCCACTTCCTTAGAGCAGTCCTGGTTATGGTGTGTCTGCACAGTAAAACAACCTCTAACATAACCCTTTTAAGGACTCCAAATAATATCCCGGCCCAATTATTATAATAATTCACATGTAGATGAAAGGATTTGCAATGATTATTAATTTTGTACCTATATTCATGATGTTGTCTTTGTCAGTTTGAAAGAACATCCAATCAAAGAAGAGAGCCAGCTTTGCGTTGGCTGATGCAGCTGAGGCCTAAAGAAAACAAGAATGACATTTATTTGGCACAATATCATATTGTATATATGGCTTGCACACTACTTGCTAGTTGCATTAGATGGATGTATACTATTGTACTTTCCCCCCTCCCCTGGGGGAATATTTCACTGACTTGTCAGCGTGACTACTGCTTGGTATGTTGCAACAGGGTTGCCAGGGAAATCAATGTTGACATAGCAGCGTACTCCCTTCCTATCTCTGGTCTCAGGTTAGATTCCTGGTCTCACCATCACATGCAAATAGAGTTTGTTAGGTCTTTCACTCGATTCAACCATTGAGGTCACAATTCAACTAGTAAGTGGTGATGAGTTTGATGGCAAATTCAAAATACTATGGAATTCCCTCTACCATAATATTTTTTATTGCATAAATTATTATTAAGTTCTTAGTGGATTTTCACTTGCACATTACTTTACTACAATTTAATATAATAATCATCGATGAAATATATATATTTCTCTAAGACTAAATGATATCTTCACCTAACACCATCCGTAAACATTCTTAGGAATCGCATCATAGTAAAAACGGACACATGGCTGATTGGAGATATGGATTTTATCTTCTTGTGGTGATATCTTAAGAGTGAGAGCAGCATATCTCCGTGCAACCATACCATATTCTCTATACATTATTACATCTTTGTCTTGGGTTACTAGTGATAATGGCAATTCCCATATAGCGCGTTTCATAATCTCGATGCTGTATAGCACATTTCATGATCTTAATGCTACTAGTAGTCTATGACTATGCTATACAGTACAGTAGTACCTGACATGATGTTAATAACCAGCCAATGATAGCCCATCGTGGAATAACATCAGAGCCTAGTACTTCATTTGAAGGGTGCACAACACCAACAATGTAGCGAATGAGATCTGGTTTAAGGGTGTGGCTCTCAGGTGAAGATAAATACTGTAATGAGAAAAAAATTAATAATAACGTGATTAAAATTTGAGATCACCTCTCAAAGCCAAACCCTAAATCCCTGTCTGTGAGAGGTGGTAACAGCTAAAGCTCTGGCAAACTTGTGCATGGGGTCAGTAACCCTACCTATGGAAACTGGCGATCAACCATATACATGACAACAGAGGGCCCTGGTTTCAGCCCTACGCATTGCTTAGGCATAATTAGATGAAGATGATTAATTTGAGATTGCAGTTTTCAATCATATATGACAAGAGTTTTATTACTCACCAGCTTATGAAACCAGTCTTGGTATCTCTTTTGCTGCCCAAACTTGACCTGTACGGAAAGAATATTGAATGTTCAGGGGCCTCATATCTTGGATCTCTTGCACCAAAGCCTTAAATTAGTGAGAGGATGACGCCTTAGCAGTGTAGACCCCCCATGCTACCTCCTACCAAAACTAGTGACTTACCTTTGAAGTCAAAAAGATAATTTTGTTCTCCATGTCTGGTGTCAGTCTACAAGCAAGGAATTTTCTAGATGTTCTTATTCGCAATAACTGTGTTAGACCTGTAAATAAATATCAGAGGAACATTTAAGGCCTGAGCACACGATGCAATATTGCTTGCAATGGGAAATGGTACAGTGTATCCAAATGTGTAAGCAACGTCACAGGCAACGTCACAGGCAACGTTACAGGCAATGTCACAGGCAATGTCTAAGGCAACATCACAGACAACGTCACATACAACGTCACAGAAAACGTCACAGACAACGTCACAGACAACATCACAGACAACGTCACAGACAACGTCACAGACAACGTCACAGACAGCGTCGCAGGCAACATCACAGACAAAGTAGTATCTTGTGAATTAATTGGTTTTCTAGACAAAGTAGTATCTTGTGAATGGACCTCTATTGTAATTGGTTTTCTAGATTCAATACCACTGACCTGTGAACTGAGGACTTAATGTTTGTGGT